TAATATTAATAATAATAATAATAATAATAATAATAATAATAATAATAATAATAAATTATTTCTTCAAAAATTGGATCAGATACGTCGGCTAAAAATAATAACTATCTTTTTTTATTATTATGATTAATAATAAAAATAATAATAATAATAATAACAATAATAACAATAATAACAATAATAATAATAATAATAATAATAATAATAATAATAATAATAATAATAATAATAATAATAATAATAATAAAGAAAAATTTTAAGCATTAAGGTATCAAATATATTAAATATAAAAATATGATCTCATTATCGAAAAAAAAAATGATCGAAAATTGAAAGAAGAAAAGAAGAAATATTTAAAAATTGAAGAAATATTTTTTCTTCAAAGTATTTTTTAAGCGCATTAAAGAAGTGAAGTGCAGACAAAAAGGATTTATCTAGATGTTTGTAGAACACTTTTATGGTCGATTGTAAAGTCTAAGTAATACAGTAGTTTAATTGTAATTGAAGTGTACCTTGAGCCACTTTGTTGTAATCCCTCGTGCCCTCTTACCTCTTTAATATATTTTACGTCGATATATATTGTTGTGTATTTGTACGTATGTGTGTATTGAATCCAACGACGACAATGCGGACTTAAAGACCTACCCTGACCAAATCAATATCGCAACCTTAAGTCTTATCGTAATGTATAACTCTTATATATCTGTATATTGTCGTTATATTTCATTCATGATTTTGCTATAAATCTATCCATCCAAGCTGATACATCTTTTTTTATTTTGATGAGTCATTTTTTTTTATTTAAAAAGATTAAATGAGCCTCTGATTTTTTTATTTGAGGGAAATTTAAATTTTATTGCAACAAATTAAAAAAAAAAAAATTTTGAGTAAAATTTTTTTAAGAAAAATGTTGAGTTAAATTTTTTAAAAACAATTTAATTTAAATTAATTATTTTTATAAATTATAAAAAAATTTCTTCATAAAAGTTTTGATTTTTTAAATTAATATTTTCTATATTGAAAATCACAAAGAAGAAATGATTTAATTAAACAAAAAAGACCGACATTATTGATCATACTTCAGTTTATTGTCTTTTCAGTTTAATAATCCAATAATATAAATAATAGAAAGGTACATATGAATAAAATAAACATTTCTTCCATTATTAAAGCTACGTTTTGTCAATATTTTCTTTATCATTGGGTTCTCTTACCAAGAAACAAATGTTTAGAGTAACAATTATACATATAGTCAACAAAAGTGCTGTTTATCATTTAATATGTCCTTGTCTATTATTATTATTATTATTATTATTATTATTATTATTATTATTATTATTATTATTATTATTATCATTATTATTAAAATAAAGAAATTTTATTGAGTCAATATATTTTTTGTTTAAATATTCATCCTTAATAATTTTATCATGATAATTATATCACATTTTTTTCTTATTACTTAATAGATCTTACTTAAATAATTTATTATCATTACTAATTTGACATTTTTGACGAATAATAATAATAATAAATTTTGAAGAATTTTTATTATTATTACTAGCAACTATGTAACTTCCGTGACTTGTGAACTATAAATAAATAAAATTTTGTATTATTTAATAATGAATATTGTTAAATTACACTGTACTTTCTTAAATATTGACGTTTTTAAAGATATAAGCTCATCCTGATGTTATACTCATTGAGAGCTTTCATTTGAGTACCTACATGCATTATTATATATTTTTCATATATACATATATATGATATATAAAAATATATAAAGTATATGAAAAATTTATGTGGGTACTCAAATGAAAGGTCTCGATGAGTGTAACATCAAGATGAGCTTATATCTTTAAAAATGTCATTTAAAGTGAAATTTTTAAAAAGAAGAAATAATCATTTTCCTTGTAAAAAAAAATAAATTGTCAAAATACGAGAAAGTTAATTTTCTTCTACAAAAATATTTGTATT